CGGCTGGTAAAACCACCATCCTGTACAAACTGAAGCTGGGCCAGTCCGTCACCACCATCCCTACCGTGGGCTTCAACGTGGAGACGGTTACTTATAAAAACGTCAAGTTCAACGTGTGGGATGTCGGGGGTCAGGACAAGATCCGGCCCCTCTGGAGGCACTACTACACGGGCACGCAAGGGTTGATCTTTGTGGTGGACTGCGCCGATCGTGACCGCATCGACGAGGCCCGCCAGGAGCTTCACCGCATTATCAACGACAGGGAGATGCGGGACGCCATCATCCTCATCTTCGCCAACAAGCAGGACCTGCCTGATGCCATGAAACCCCATGAAATCCAGGAGAAACTGGGCCTGACCCGGATCAGGGATAGGAATTGGTACGTGCAGCCCTCCTGTGCTACTACAGGGGATGGACTCTATGAAGGGCTGACATGGTTAACATCCAACTATAAATCCTAATGAGAGAATAACTATTTAGTCTACAAAGAATTAAAGAAAAAAAAAATAACCCACATGGCTTTCCAGAAGAATGATTCTCTACTGAAAAGTAAAAACAAAAGCATCCATAGGATTATGATCACCTTTCTCCAGTTACCACCCTTTCCTTCTGCAAACTTGACTGGATTCCTGTTTTAACTCTTCTTGCTTGGCGTTAGGATGCTCTAATCTCCGAATATGACACGAACACAAGCACTAGATGCTATGGCAGACTTCCAGCAAACAGGGGAAAGACACATTGTAGACTTGCTAAGTAACTTTTCTTTTTTTTTCCCCCCCTCTTGATAGCCCTTAAGATGGTTTGATTATTTTGGGGGATGGTTGGGGGAGGGGTTCCATTTTCAGTGTATGCTTTCTGGTTCTACTTTTTTATTATCTATTTTTTTTTCTCCTTCTGTCACTTGCTGTAGATTGCTGCTTTTTTGCATTCACGCAGAATATGTTGATAGGTCTCCTTCATCTAGTAAACTGAAAATTATTGCTTAAAAATCAAACTGCAGTCTGTCTTTTTATATTAAGGACTTTTTTAAAGTTCTGTTAATCTGTAACTAGTGACTCTCAGTCTGTCTTCATATCTCAGACTAATAACGAAAACGAATTCTTGCCCACAGTGGCAGATAGCGCGAATACCATTGTAACATGTTCAAAGTGCATATCAGGCGTAATGTTAACTAGGTAATGTAAGAACTGCTTTGAAATGTCAGCTGTGAAGTTCTGAACCATACATCATGCATGAGAAGGGATGCAAATAAGTTCCCCATACTACATAGCAACCATATAGCAAATAAGACATGAATGATGGAATAGTTCCAGGGTAGACGCTGTTCGGTTTTTCTCTTACATTGCAAACTTAAATGTTGTTTAGCTGCAGTTTCGACTGCTCCTGTCAGTCTCCGATTCAATGCAAGATAGGTTCCTTCCAGAAAATGCAGCAATAACATGTAAGCATTGCAACAAGTTTTACTTTCAGTCACAGATGTTTAGGCAGAAATCTAGCACTAACTTGCCTCTCTTGCGATCGAGACAAATTGCTTTCATCTCAAGGCAGCTGAAGATATCTAAAAGGATTTTTGATTCTTTCTGACATGCATGTAGTAAAGAAATATTTTTTCTTTTCCATTCTGAAGGGGGCAAGTTCTGTGCTAAGCTTTAATTGAGCTGGGTAATTCTGACGCCTGAATAATAGCCGTTTTGAGGAAATCACTCCTTGGTTTAGTTTTCCAAGACTCGACTAAACTCATGCAAGTAGTTGCAGTCTTCACCATCTGTCTCATAGCCGGTTGTTGCTGTAGTCCTGTAGGAAGGGAACTATGTTGGATGTCTGAAGCCCATTGAGTAACTACTAATGAGAGCGGGGAGGAGAGAAAGAGAGAGAGTATACGACTATGAATGTAAACTTCCATAATTAGTTCTTAAAGGGCAAGCAGCTCATTTGCCATATCACAGTTTGCAGTTGTGACTGGCAAAAAGAAACCCCACCCAGAACGAGTGTTAGTATAAAAACTCAATTGAGTATTAATGCTGGGTGCAAAAAAACCATTAAAGCAGCTGGTTCTTATTCAGCCTTAAGGATTAACTTCAGATTTCCTCAAGGAGTTAAACTCGATTGGGGAATTCTTGGAATGTATGCTACAAAACCAGAAGAAAATGGCTTTTTTTTCTTTTTTTTTTTTTATTTTCCAAGGATATGAGTTTTACACGAAATTGGGGGCATTACACTACATTTCTGCAGTGTTGACTCTGCATGCTAAGTACATTGTATATGGAGCTCTTACCAAAGATGTATGGGAAGATAAAAATACTGGATTCACTTCTGAAATTGAATGCTTTGGACCACTTAAAAGTTCCTTTAGAATAGGGTTCCAAAAGACTTATCTTGATGTGGGTTGCAAATGGGACTGAATGGGTTCTTGATGCTAGAAGATAGAGCACTGATGGACTGTGAGCCTTTGTAAGTTAGAGTCTGCAAAAGCTTAATGTAGAACAACTGAAATCTCAGCTCTGAAGAAGAGGAGGTGAGGTTTTTTTCACTCAAGGCTTTTTGCCATTGGAATATCATTGCTCTATTTTCTAGCTTTTTTTTTTTTTTTTTTCCTCCTGTTGATGTGACTTAACAGTGTGGTGGTATAAAGACTAAAAATACAAGTATGGTTACTGTTTTCTTCTGGAGCATAAATAAAATAGCCAAGCACAAAGTAAATGCCTAAACTGGAAAACTTGAAGCTCTATTAATGGTTCTTGAACTTTCTTAAATCTATTCTCGGTCAACATGAAGAGTTCAATAACTTCATTTTTCGTCTGAGTTGATTTACTGTGTTTTCGAGTGCTGGGGCAGACTTCTTTGCTAGACTTTGCATTAAGTTGAATTCACAATTTTGTATTTCCTTAGTAACTTTGTTATTCTGTTTTTTGTAGGCGAAAGGAAACTGATTATGCTTCTGAATTTTTTTAATGTCTTCTTTTTTTTTTTTTTTGGGGGGAGAAAAAGTTACTGAAACGTGTGGCAGAGACGTCAAAAATAAATGGCCATTGCTACCGAATGAAACGCAAAGGTTTCACTCTCAACATGTACTTCATAGGTTGTAGCTGAACCTCACCACAACCCTAGTGGCTATCAGGCAGCGAACACAGCCTGTAGGATAAAGTGGCAATCTGTAAGAAATCCTACGATTTAAAAACTAATCTGGAGTTTTTTAAGTGCATCAATTTGTGTTCATGTGAATTTATGGAGTAAGTTTTGAATGGCGTTAATCGTGTCTGATAAGTGAATGAGTTTGTAGACTGTGATCTCCCTGACTAAAGTAAACAGGAATTTTGTGTTCTCAATATGGCTGTAGTGTTGGTAAAGAACTAATAAGCAGAAAATAAAGCAATTATACAGCGGAGCTGTCCTGGTATGTTACTTATATTGAATTATGAGAGAAACAGAAAGGGGCAATGTGGTGCTGGAGCAGAGCATTCTGCCGACATAACGAGGTCTCTGTTCTGTATTTCACAGTTTTGAAAGCCTGTCTGTAATTCCTTGGAGACTTAGATTAGCGACTATTTTTATAAGTGGAAAGGATGATAACTTCTTTAATGCTCCCGCTAGCAGTTAACAATCTTTAGCAAACTTTAATGTCACGTTTATACAGCCTCGGTGCCAGCCCCGCATAACTCGGGAAGGTGACCAGCTCTGTGAGCGGGCACGGAGGGAGGGGTGCTGAGCAGGACGGTGCTGTGTTTCCCAGAAGAAACTACTCGGTCGGAAAGGGAAGATACGAGGCCAGTGTAGAAAACGCAGCGAGGGATAAGAGGGTTGATGAGTGAATAGGGGCGCTTGTGGAGCGACAGATGTGAAGTCGGGATGTCTTTGGTGCCTGAATAGGACACGAGCGAGGCGATAAAAGGACTTGGGCAGGTGCAGTGGGGAATGCGTGGGGGGGCCGGGACCTGAGCCCTGAGCAGCAGGCTGGGGTGCACGCAGCGGGCTACGGTTACGGCAGGCACCGCCCTCCCGCCGGGCCGTGAGAGGCGGCGATGCTAACAGGAACCACCCCCAGATCCCAGCCTGAACTGGGCTGTCTGGCTGCTAGGACAGGGCTCTGGGAGGGGATGGCGGAGGTTTTGAATACAAAACTGCAGGTGTGAGGCCAGGCGTCAGCTGCTGGGAACGGTCTCCTTGTTGCAAAGTTTTTGGGAAACACCAGGAAAGGTTATTCGGCCAGGTGGGTGTACGTGGGTGCAGGGCGGTGGGTCTGCCGCAGCTGCCATCCTCCACAAAGCTTTTTTTCTTCCAGGAGGCTTAGGCTGGGCTCAGTCTACCTGAATGTCAGTTAAGGGTGTGGCTGTGTAAATGAACTTACTCTGATTTAATTAAACTACTTGGGTGTTTGGAGACAAGGCTCCAGAAGAGTAAACTCTGTGTCTCTTGTCATTGTAGTAGTTAGTCATTTTTCAAAATGTCAGCACTTAGTGTTTTAAATCGGACCTTTGTCACAGCAGCAGTTAGGGTGACTCCCGAGAGCTCCCTTCCCCGACTGCACCGTGACTCACGCCTCAGCAGGGCTTTTTTTTTTTCCGTAGTCACAGGGCCGCAGTCCTCATGGACAAAGCTTGGAAAAAATGTGCCTGCCATCCCTAATTGGAAATTAACCCTGCTAATACGGTAGTCCTCCCAAAGGAACGTCTCTCGGTTTAAAAAACTTAGTTGCATCGTCAAAACAGCTGGCTGCAAGATCCGCGAGAGCTGGTCACTTCGCTGATGGACCTGAGTGTTGTTTCCCTCGTGGCTGGGAACAGAAGCGACCGCCAGGAGCCAAGAACTTGCTCTGGAGTGTGGAAGCAGCCTTGGTGTGGGCACCGTGACTCGGACTTCCCGCTAACGCCCGGTTGTACGTTTTATCTGGGATTTGTTTCTCATATCTGTCCAGCCTGAAGGGCTCAGTGTGTGGAATCTGAAATCAGCTCGGCTTTGGTGCTTTCTGGGGAAAAAAAATAAAAATAAAAGCTTTCCTCTTGCCTTGGGGGGAAGCGTCAGCTTTCAAGGGCTGTTGGTGAGTTAGTGGCATCTCCACGTACTGACTCTGTTCCTCTTCTGATGTCCCAAGCACGGCTCCGTCACCGTCGCTGCTTGAGTCTCTAAGTTTCAGAATTACATCTCAGCAGCCGCTTTCAGGACTTGAGGCCAAGGTGGGTGATCCGAGCCCTGCCGTCAGTCCCGAAGGGGTGAAGCGGGTGAGTCAGAGCCCCGTGGTGCTCGCGTCCCCGGCGAGCCTCAGGAGCTGGTGTGAAAGGCGGCTTTTTATAGGCGGTAAGCTGGGTATGCGGCGTGTTGTGCAGGAAGTCGCTCTTCTCTTGCTTAAGAACAGGTATCTCTGGCCTCCTTAAAGAGAGGAGGGGAGGAAAAAAAAGATGTGAGTCATCTGCTGAGTTCTCCAGCCTCAGAGCCTCACAGGGTTTAACAGGCTCAGGCCCTTGCTTCGCCTCGAGAGAATTGTTTTCCCTTCCAGAGGATGCGCTTCACTCCTCCATCGCTGGTTTCTGTAGTTACATCTTTTGATTCAGCATTAGTTAAAAAAAAAAGAAATACTGCAGCAGGATGTCATGGGTGGCTGTGTTGTGAGAGATGGAGATTGATAACGCTTGAAAATGGATAACTCTTGAAAATTGATAATGCTTGAAAATTGATAACTCTTGAAACACTTTTTATTTTGTGTAGGAGCATTCAGATGAGTGCAGCCTCGAGGGGGAACCACCAGGACAGGTACCCCTTGTGCCCCAGCTGCCCGTCAGACTGGGGGAAAACTCAGTCATTAAAAAGAGAAGAGAGCCGAGGTGTAGACAACAAGCTGAGCGCCTCAATTTGTGTCTGTGGCTGGAAGGGATTCCTTGATGGAGATATAATGGGGGGGTCACGCTGCCTGGGCCGGGCGCCGGTTTCATCCCAAAATTTCTTTCCGATGGAACAAGACGGGAGGTTTTCTCTCTCAGTGTTGCTGGAGATGAAA